GGAGTTTACAGGAATAAAAAATATATATATTATAACAAATTATTCTTTGTATGGTGTGCAATTTGCCAGCATCTTATTGATTGGAGTTGATACCATTGTAAATTTAAAATAGTTTTTTCTGTCTCTTTCTTGGGTGTTTACTGATGCTGCATTTTGCAGAAACTTAAATATGAAATAAAAGATGACGTTTTGAATTTGGTTTTGATTAATTTATTTGTACTTTTTAAATATGAATTATATAAGATTTTTATTGAGCTTGTCATTTGAAACCATATGATAGTTCTACATTACATAGTGATGTACTTTAAATATTTGTATGTGATTAAATGTATTGTTTCATTTAAGTTTTCATTCATGTAAAGAAAATATGCATAACATATTCATCAAAATAAAAGTAATGGAAATGTTGCAGTTACAAATTTATAAAAACAAAAAATTGCTTTTATTTTCATTCTTCACAATACACATGAAATTTGTTATTACATGAATCGAACCAGATACCTAGTTTTAAAACAGCCATGTGTTAACACCTGAATCAACAAACAGTATTTTATAACTAGGAAACAGTTTAATTAATTGTTGTACAAGTTCTTACCATATACCCTTGAGAGAAGTGTGTGGTGCATCTTTTTCAAGTTTTGATTGAACATATTTACCAACTGTACGTGACAAAAACAAGAGAGCCGTAATACTCCATACATTTATTATTTTATATGATATAGAAACGTCTACATGTGTGATCAACTTGCTTCTTTAAGACAGGATAAAATGTTTATTCTATTCTATTACAATTAAGGTTATGTAAACTGATAGGCAGACATATATTATTTATCCACTTTTAGCCTTTATGGGTTGTGACTCTGTACTAGCCAAAAGTTCATTAACTGTTCTCATCCCTGAAGATAATTTGTTGTTACACATTTTTACTTATAATTGTTATCTGAACTATACTTTTGTATGCTTTATGTGTTAATATATGCATATAAATAGGTACTTTTTGGAAAGAAAAGTAGCATAAACAGAACACTACTTACATGTAAGAACTTGTACTATGCTTCTGGTCAGGATCCTAGCAGAGCAGATTATTATTCCTAGTGTGAAATTATTTTGTCAGTATTTCTTTTTCAAAAATAACAGGATCTTGCATTTCATCTTGTAAGATCCTGTTCCAGTTTGACATTATCTTAAGAAAGGCTCTCACCTAGGAATAATGTTAAAAAGATCGTTGCTATTATTGTTTTAGTTGTTCTGTTTAAGAAGTTTGTTATCATTGTTTCTGAGGAGTGTTTAGTTTAAGAATGATGAAACTTCTTTCCCTATGTTGTTTCTCTATATGGTTTATGATCAGTAAGAAACTGTTTTCTTGTTTCAGTATCATCAATGGGTTTGCTTTACCACTAAAAGAAGAACATAAAGTGTTTCTGTTAAAAGTGCTAATGCCTCTTCACAAAGTGAAATCTCTTGGTGTGTATCATCCTCAGTTAGCGTATTGTGTTGTGCAATTCCTGGAGAAAGATGCAAATCTTACAGAGCCAGTGAGTAATGTATTTTTATTAAAAATATATTCATAAAGTAAAGTTTAAGCTTAATGCAGATCAATATCATAACCCATTATTATATATATTGCAAGAAAAAAAAACTTGGAGAGAAATGTTTAAGGAGGTATTTTATACAAGTGTTAATGGTACAGTGTAATACATCATGGTATTTGCCATCATCATCATCTTTTTTCTTTACTTGTTGAAGAATTCCCAGAGAAATGCCTATTATTGTAAAGGGGTAGGGAGTTTTGCTTAAGGAGGTTTTATGTGAAAGTGTTGATGCTAATCTTCATGAAGCAGAATGCCTTTGTGACTTATAAGTAACTTTGTGTTAAGTTTTGTGTACCTGATACAGTCATTATATATTGTTTAATATGTTGTATAAGAATGTTCTTCATTGGTGGCATTTATTATTTTTATTATTTATTATCTTTTTTCTAATATGTTGTTTTTGTATAGTGACCTAGATTACAGAGATAGGTTTGTTGATTAAAACTTAATGTGTTGTGCATTATCTTTTTCAACACAGTGCAGGTGTGAAGGGACACAAAATTTCCTTTGGCCTATAATGCCTATTAATTAATAATTATGCCCTCCCCTAAGATATAGCGCAACTGACCTATGTTCAGTAAATACGACACAGTGTTATGTTATTTGTGTGTATTATGCTTGCAGTTTTAACTTTTAAAAGCCACCCACTGAAATACAGTGAGACCGAGTTGACATACAGAAGTAAATTACACTATTCCATCATTCATCTGTAGATCAAATACAAGTCCTAGAGTACAACATACAAGTAAGTGTATGTTCAACAAAAAGAAAATACGAAATTGATGTAATATATTAACTGGTGTGTAAGATTGGCAATATATGTAACAGGGAAGTCCTAGATCTAGTAAACATTATAGACCTAATGTAGTGGTTTGTAATTGTTTTGGCTGATTGTAAATCATGTCTTACACCAACTAATATATTAGACTTTAGGTCTAATTGCAGTTATAACTTTATTTCTAGACCCTAGGTCCATCATCATACAAATTGTAGCCTATATTTTTGGCATACTTAGACCTATACTAACTATTAAACTAGGCATTGCACTGGGACAGATCTAATGACGTTAACAGATCTAGATGTAACATTAATGTTAGAGCTGTTATTTCCATCTTTTTTAGTCTTAGGTTTGGATCTAGATGTAATAATACATCTAAATTAGACCTTAGATTTGGGTGCATAGATTGAAAGCACCTTGTATTGAATCTACCCG